GCCTGCAACGGGAAGTTTTTCGACTACCTTGCACTTATTAACCAACCCATTTCCTTCACAATCAAGCTCGACTAATAATCACTGAATGCTATACTTACTCTGTTTAACTTCTAAACTTCTAAGTTCTAACTCCGCTTCATTTTCGAGGGTATTTTCAGATGCGCGCTTGCCCTCCTCATATTGTTTCTGAAGCTGTTCCAAATTCTCGGGCTGAAATCGAAGCTGTTGCTGTAGGGCTAAATTTTTAACCACTCAGAGTACGAGGGCATCTTCTCGGATGTCTAGCATATCCACTAGGTTTCTTGTAATAAATTCCACAAGTCTATACGATATGTCCTAGTATGCCCCAGAACGTCCATCGTTTGATAACGGCTTACACCTGATATTTTCCATTAGAAGAATACGATGGAGGACCCAGATTTGACAAAAAAACATTCTGAAAATGGGCCTACACGGGGAAACCACATTCAGCACAGAAGAGTATGAAAATGATTATGGAGGAAAATGGAAAACTTCACTTGTACCACCAGAGCGGCCCGGGTTCGATTTCCGGCCGATGCACCAGAAAATAACTCTCGAGCGTACCACGCAGCTTTTTTCAGCACGGCAAAAAACACCATACACCTCGAACACTTTTATCGCAGACTCAAGCTTGGGTAATCAAACCATTTAAACATCAGCCAACAGTAAACACAAAAAGAACTACGAGTAAAATAACCGCCAAACAAATAACACAACAACAAGTGATTCGACAGTCACGATTAAAACATGATGAGACCCGAAACAGCAAAAAACCTTCTCTCGTTGTGTCGTCCAGTGAGATTTCATGGGCGGCACTTCCATTTTTAGACCGATCCTATCTCTTCCGGCGCGCTCAAGACTGCCTCTTACGCGCACGACCTCCACTTGCGTTCTTTACTTTCTTCCCATCATTCGAATCGATAATCACATTTTCTCTATGATCTATTCTTAAAAAGCTAGTTCTTACCTTTTGATCGCGTATCCACGGCACTCAGCAACCTATTTGAGTCAGCAATTCAAAAGCCAGAGCGATTTCAATGAAAGCAAAATGCGTGGCTCTTTCAGGGAATTATACTCTAGTTTTGGAGGCGCATTTCTACTATGATCATCACTTTGGAACTATGATCTTATTACAGTATTACCAAAAGTGAGTATCACGACTATTTTCAGCATATGAAAGCCATTATGCAATGCCAAAAAGAAGGACTTAGCGCTAAACCGAGATACGATCCGGATTGGTCTTCCGCTTGCGAATGGGAAGGAAAATGAATGCTGGCACCCTAGTGGTCAAGCTCCACCACGGACGAATCGCCAGGGTGGGGCGAATAAAATGTGCATAAACTTCACATATCTTAATAAAATGTCATGAACCTCGTTTGGACCACTTACAGTGATGGTATATACGTGAACTCTAGGAGATTAGAATTTGGCAGGACCGTTTTTTCGCGTCTTGAAATGGCTCAATGAGCATGCAAACTACTCAAAGATTAAACTCAATCATAGCAAGTTGTAATTACCTTGTTGAACGTCTCCATAGCTCCAACGAAATTCAAGATCTGGTAGGTCTCACAAATAGAGTACTCATTGCTTTTTCTCTGGAAATTGCTATTAGTCACTAGAATCGTGGATTAAGCGAGAGTAAAGGGAGGGACGCAATCAGAAGTGAGTGCAATGCTATCGCTTTCCTGGGACGGCTGCTACTCTTCGCTTGTATAATAATTAATAAACGGCTAACTCAAAAATTTTCGATTAGGTTGCACTTGGGACTTAAGCCTTTTCCTATGCATCTTTCGTTTTAGAAGTGTAACATTGACTAGCTCGAGCTCAAACAAATCTTAACCCTTCATTACCGTCAGCACAATAGAAGGAAGGAGGAGAAGTAGAAAGAATTGCACAAATTTTTGAGCGACAAAAAGAAATATACTGGGCAATAAGAGTTGGCCAGTACAAAAAGTTTGAATCTAGACGTTGCTAAAATATACATCAAAAGAAGCAGAGACAGAGAGCTGATGAGCATCTGTTCAAAGAGCTGAGTGCCGAGGTCAAAACCTAAAACATCATCAAACACCAAAGTTATCTACAGGGTCAAGGAAATATCAAAAAAATAGAAAGCAATGCTTCCTCCAGAAAATTCAGTCAAAGGCTCCTGAAGGAGTAAATAAAAACCGCATTCGTTCAGTCCGGTGATGGCATAACCTGAAAAGCATGACTTTGAAAAATAAAAGGAAATGAAGAAAGAGTAAATGCGCCTATTAAATGCCCTTGCTAAGTAGCGGAGGTCCACTTGTCCTGAGAGAAAGCAATTTTTAAATTATTAAGCCACGAATGGTCTAATGGTATGATACCCTTCTGAATCCAGTGAGGATGATCCAGTATCAAAGAGGCATTTAGAACCTGATTCTTGGATAGGTGAAGTGATAAAAAAGAAAAAAGTGCGATGGAATAGATCAAACCCGCCTTGGTGAGCGAGTCAGACATTCCATTCTTAGGCAGTCGATAGGTTGAAGGCCATGTACTGATGGTAAAAATTTACACTATCATGCCAGTCACTCTACGTGGCACTACGTATTCTCTCCCAATAACATCTGTCCATAAATGGAACTAAATTACAGAGAGATACTCGTGAACATGATAATCAACAAAGAGTAATCCTGTTTAAGCCTCTCAAGATTGAACACTTCATCTGGCCAACGTTTCAGCCGCTTTGCCTTCGTCGGGGCCTGAAATAGTGCAAAGCATATGTGTGGCATGCTCGCCCAAAAGCCTCAACAAAACTTCAAGAAAACTTCAAGTAGACCAGCAAACCCTCCAGAAGAATTGGTCGAATAAAGCATGGATCGCTTACCTTGGAGTCCGCCGCTAAGACAGGACGACGACCACCTCGTACTAACTGTTGTTTAAAGTAACTAGTAGAGCCTCCTGCTGACCTCATTGTAGATCAAAGGTTGCAGAAGTCAAGGAAGGGTGCGAATCCACGGGTTATGGCACACACTCCTCCTTTCTGTTCATAAGGGAGTCTTTAGTGGTAACACTTCCAGGGTTTTACGCACCACGATCTCGGGATCAAGATGAAATCAATATGGACACGGAAACGTCAAAGGGTAGACCTGCGTTGAATAAAACCCGATGGGCCCGTAGTGGGGTATGAATCCTTGATCCAGCCGGCCCACTTGGGGTGTTAGCATGTCTATTTGAAGTTTTCTTGGAGTTTGTTGAGACCTTTGGGCGAGCATGCCACACATATGCTTCGCGCTATTTCAGGCCTTGACGAAGGCGAAGCAGCTGAAACGTTGTCCAAACAAAGTGTTCAATCTTGAGAGGTTCAAACAGGATTTCTCTTTATAACATATCATGCCAACATTGCAAAAGTCGATCGTGGACTATTTCAAGCGAGTACCAGTCGAATATTTTCGACTTGTGACAGAAGTGCTGCCTTTGCGACAAAAGATTGCCGCTGTGAGACAGACCACCTACTTCCCGAGTCACTGTCTTTATCACCGCAACACGCGAAACTTCATCAAAAACAAGCGGATGGATGAGTTATGTGGGCTCCCAAAGGACTCTCAACAACTAAGAACAATCGAACGTCAAATTCTCAGAACGGCGTTGAAATCGAAACGTGATTATCAGAATCGTGTTTGAACAAATGTATTGCGAAGGAAAAGCACTGTGAACGTTTCGTGCCGGATCGCCATTGGGAGGAAATAGTGGGTGAGGCAAAAAGCATTTGTGATTATGTTCGCTCTAAGGCTAAGACAAGACTACAAGAAAAATTCGATAGGCTGGCAGACCAACAGCGGTATTGTAGATCACGAGGCGTGCAAACTAGAAACCTTGTTGACACCGACTCCGGCGACTCTCGTAAAAGACGCATTACCAAAATCGCGAGTCACGGTTTTAGGCAACTTCACCCTTTCCAACGATGGGCGTTCCTTACTAGAACTGGGTCCAAGTTTCGCTCCTGTAAAGTCAATAAATCAAAGTGTTTCTCGTCAAATCGTAGGCACCTGCAGACCCTCCGTGAACGCTCCGATATAGAGTTGATCCAATCCAACGCGGCGGGAAGGAGGTGCGGTGGATACGGCGAAGAGTTTCCCTGCTCTACCTTTCCCCTTCAGTTTCTATAAGCCCCAGGAGGCCGATATAGGAATAGACACTAAGTTCCAGCGCTTCAGCTGCTTGCTACATCGGTCTTTAGTGTGGTTCGGCAGCATGCAAAGAAACAATCCATCTCAAACCTGACCGCATCACAAAAACGTGGGCTCAAAGAATTACGCGATTACTATAGGCATGTAGAATTCGATTGTCAATTAGCGACAAAGGTGGAGAATTGGTGGTTCTCTCACAAGAACTTGATAAGGCAATCACAAAACTGCACCTAAGCGACGACGCATTATACTGCAAATCGTCAGAAAAGGAATATAAAAAGCAATAATATAGTGAGTTAAACAGAGTCTGGAGTAGTGTGGCGAAGACTGCTGGGCTGCCTGGGCTGCATAATACCACCATCACCTTAAGTGTGACCTACCACCCTGCCCCGTCCTGTAGGTACTGATTAAAACGCATAAACTCATAGCATTGGACATGGTTTCGGCGGATCCCTCCAAATTAAAAGTTAGACCCATAGTCAGTGGTGTTGAGAGACCTACGGACAATATATCTTGGTTTTTCAATATCATCTTGGGTCACTAGTTTCGGTACATCCTCACCCACCTGACCAACACTAGCATGCTACTCAATAAGTTGTCCAGCGCTAGCCTTCACGAAGGGTGTGTGATGGAGTCTTATGACGTCACATCACTGTACACTAATGTTTCGAATGGAGGAGCGCTGGAGGCCAGATACGAATTACACTGCGAACATGAACCTGATCTACAGCTTCACGGGCTTACTGTTACGCAAGTGATGACAATCTTGTCCGAGTGCCTGGAGTGCTCCTTTATCAGGTGGTCAGGCGAGTATTATAAGCTGGTCTAGCTATGGGGCAACGATTAGCTCCTGTGTCGGCCATAGCGTTCATGTCGAAAATCGAGAAGCCAGCACTGGACCGTGGTCCAGTCCTATGTTGCCGTTACATTGATGACTGCCTTATCATATGTTCGACTCAGGAAGAAGTGGACATTTGTTACGATCTCTTGAACAAGCAGTCAGGAGACATCAACTTTACAGGGAAAAGCCTGTGGAGGTTCGGTTGCCATTTTTAAATGTCTGAGTCCAGGTAATACGGGGCATAGCAAGAACAAAACGGTACCGCAAGCCAAGCTGTAAGAACCTAATTGTTCACTCCCAATTGGCGCACCCATAAAAACCAATCACGCGGTGGTCAGCAATATGCTTAGGGTCGCAAATAAAGTTTCATCCGATGCTGAGCTGAAGAAGGTGTCTTTGCGCTCAGCCCAGAGCATTACATCGTTGTGCGAACATCCGTGCCCTGGGTCAACACGTAAATATTTCTCTACATCGACAACCCGGGAAAGGATACGATCTGACAAGGTGGGTTTTGTTTGCCTTCCATTTCCGAGGAAGTAAGTAGATCTATCCGATCAATTGTGCGTCGGTGTGGTCTTCAAGACTATATATGTGTTGTCGAAATACCTCCAAACACCTTTCGGAAGCTTCTTGTTCGTAGTCGACTCTACGATAGTGTATGCGACACTTCTAACTGTGTGGTATGCCCTCATGGCAAAGTGGGTGACTGCATGAAGGTGGGAGTTGTCTACACAATACGTTGCCAAAGACGTGGTTGCGAGTACATAGGAGAAACAGGTCGCCCGGTGTGCGTTTAGGTAAAGAACATCTATGTGGGCTGGATGGATCAAGGATGCATACCCCACTAGGAGTCCATCGGATTTTATTCCACGCAGATCTAAGCTTTGACGTTTCAGTGTCCATATTGGCGCTTGAACCTCAGTTCAGGGCGCGTAAGACCGCGGAAGCGTTTTGGATTACCGCTATAACCCCCTTATGAACAGAAACGAGGAGTGCGTGGCTATAATCCCTGAACGCGCACCCTTCCTTGACCTCTGCAACCTTTGATCTACGATGAGGTCAGTGGGAGGTTCCACTGGTTACTTTAAACAACAGTTAGTAAGATGGTCGTCGTCCTGTCTTAGCGGCGGACTCCAAGGTGAGCAATCCATGCCTCATTCGATCAGTGGAGTTGGCGGGTTTACTTGAAATTTTCTTGGAGTTTTGTTGAAGCTTTTGGGCGAGCATGCCACACATA